GAGAGCCAGCCTGGGAAACACTGCGCCAGAGCACAGAAGCCGGCACTCTATTCGGGAACGAGAGCCACAGAAGAACCATCTCAGAAGCTCATTAATCTCAAAAGCTTGTGAAGCATTGGCTATTTTTACACAGAGAGGCATTAAAAATGCAACAAATGCCACTGGTTCCCCTACTCATGCATGGGGTTTTTAAAGCCTCTCTGTCTACGTGTACATGTGTAGTATTATAGTTCTGAGAAGTACAGCTGCCCATGCTTGGTAATACTGTTTAGTCCAGTTCTTTGAAAAGGCTCGTTGTCAGTTAGTGTATTTTTTTTCCACGTTGCTGTGCTGACCACGAGCTTCCGAGCTGGGAAGCCTTTACTGCCAGGGGTGGCCCACCCATGTCCCCACAGCCTTACTCCAGCAGGTCTGAAATCTGAAACCATCAGGTTGTGAAAGACCTGTGAGCTTTGTGCTCAGCCAGGAATGGACCCATGTGGTTACCGAGAGCGACGGGATACTGGGCTTTGGATTTCAAATCCCCTCCGAATGGCTGAAATGAACAGATCATCTCCTTCAGCTCCAAGTACTTGGATTTGTGGGTGGCCCGTAACCCCAGCTGGATCGTGGCTCTCTGCAATGGGGGGTGTCGAGCCCTGGTCCCAGAGTCTGACAGGAGTTTGTAGGATGTAGTGGGCTGGGTTCCTCTAAAACCACTCGCAATGGATCCCTGCTTCTGCTCCAGCCATCTTCACTTGCCTGGCCTTTTTCTCTGATTTTCATGCACTGGTTTTCATTGCTTCAATTGTATGTGCTTTATTTAAAAAAAATAAAACTATCCACACTTTTCATACAGATGTGTATGACAGTTAAACCATTTCTTAGTTGAGGGTTGTGCAAGTCCTGTGTGTCAACAGATTCAGTTTTAACCTGTAAACTTGGACCCCTGGTATTTGTGGTCTCGTAGTGAAATTTGGCTCTTTATAATGCCTGAGAATGCTAAATGATTTTTTTTTTAATCCATGGTTGTTACTTCTAAATGTTTTGCTTGTGGGCAAATAATCTGTTAGTCTGCTTTTTCTGTTAAGTAATTAAAGGAAGACTAGAAAAGGTTCCTGTTTTTCATATTTCATCCAAAATTAGTCCTCGTCATCCCTTTCATCGAGAGAGGGAAAATATTGTTTTTGTTCAATTCGTTTTGAAATCTAACGTTAAAGAGTGAAGAAATGACTTTAAGCTCTGTGGTAACTGCATGGGTTTTTTTTTAAATGTTTTTTTTTTTAAGGGATTTTCTTCCTCCCCAGGCCCTGGGGAATGTGGCAGCGTGACAATTAGTCTTGCGTTTGTATTCATTTGCCAGGGCGAGAAAAACATTAGATCTAATGTAAATATTCTGCATTGTGAAATATTAAACAAGGAGAGCTGATAAACCCCTACTGCGCGTGTGTGTGTGTGTTTCCTGCTATGTCTGGGCTTTGCTGCAGGGTTTTTGTTCATTGCAGCTCCTGGAGGGCCACAATGCGGCAGGGTTGATGGGTAACGTAATCGGGGGAACGCCCCCCCCCCCCAGCAGTGAATATGGGTGTTTTTAGAGTGTGAGTTGTAGCTATCCAGGCTTGGTCCTGCATGGCCTGTCTGTCACCTGATATGCATTCTCTGTTCTTTGACCTAAATCAGCTCCTTTTTGGCTTAATTATTCTCACAGCTCTCACTTTTTTTACACATCTTTGCATGAAAGCAAATAGTAGAATGATTTCTGGAAGATATAACGTGGAATCTTAGCCTTGCAACAGATAAGCCTGGTGCTGTCAGACACCCCTTGTGACAGACTTGCAACTTGCCTGTGGTCTGTCTTCAAGCTCTGGTGGAGCCTGTGCTCTGCAATAACGCCATGAGCCTCCAGAGGGCAGTTTTGTCACTGTTGTAGCTTGTCTAGAAGTGTGGTCAAAGCAAAAGTACAGTACTGTACCGCTGACTATTGGAATATTTGTCTCACGCCGCATCAGAAAGCAGTTCTGGTTCTCTTTTTACATAAGTGGGGAAATAAAACTCAAAACATTTGCCTCCAGCTATTAACAGTTAAAGATTGTGAAGGTTACAAGATGTCTGCCCAGATGGATAGGGTTTTGATATGTGTGGTGTCATACCCCCCGTACTGGTTGTAGAGGGAGAAAGCACCAGAGTCACCTTGTGCAGGCGTGGAGCTCAAGCTGGTCAAGGCATGAGAACCCTCTGGAGACGAGCACCCAAGGTTGGAACTGTGCCCAGGGCCTCGGGGTGGAGAGGCTGCAGTGGTGATCACTGTGCCTGTGGGTCAGATTGCCTTTCACTTTTGAGTTTTTACATCTGCTAGTACCTTGAGTAGGAAAAGGCAAACAGGTTATGCTCCAGTGCGCTGCTGGCTTCTGGAAACCCGCAGCCGGGGGTCCAGATCGCCGGGTGGCTGCTGGGACAGGAAGGGCTTGGAGGCAGTTTGGTGCGACTGACTTGGCAGGAGGCCTCGGAGCAAGGGAGTTAAGTGTACTGGGGATTAGGCAGCGGATCAAGCTGGGTTAATCACTCTGATCCTTCTTAACCCTTCTGAGATGGAGACGCACAGAAGTGGGGGTGGTGGCAGATCGCACGTCAACCTGTGCATAAGGGGTACTTATGTTATGCCCACAGAATTTCAAAGCGGCTGTCCCCCTGAGTGGTGAGGTCACAGGTCTGGGGTCTCCAAAATGCACAACGGGGAATGTAATGACTTTATTCTTCATAGTTCTGATCATAAAACAACCTTGATAGACAAATTCTTTAATAAAACCTCTGATCCCAGTGATTCCTTGGGGCACTAGTGTTGGCAAAAGCTGGGCTACATAATCTGAGAGGATCGTGGTTAAGTAGTTGGGATCAGCTTTGTGGGGGTCTTTCCAGAATTTAACTGTGTTAAGCAGTTGTTGAGGTCTTCAAGTCTCCTGCAAGATAAAAGGGTCTTGTGGGCAACTGAGAAGGCAGGAGCTGACTCCAGCCTGGAGAAGTGTAATTTAAAAAAAAACTGCTAGCCTCCAAAAGACCTCTCTTGATTTCCTGAGACGCAAGCTGCTTCAGTGTCCTAGGTGGCCTGTTGACTGAGGTTGCACTGCAGGTGTGTGGGATAGGAATACAGAGGTCTGCTTTATAATAATAATAATAATAATAATTGCTTACACTTATATAGCGCTTTTCAGGTAATGGGGACTCCCTTCCACCACCACCAACCTGGATGGTGCGCCAGAACGCTCACCACACACCAGCTATCAGTGTGGAGGAGAGCAGAGTAATGAAGCCATCAGGGGGATTATTAGGAGGCCATGATTGGTGAGGGCCAATGGGAAATTTGGCCAGGATGCCGGGGTTACACCCCTACTCTTTTTGAGAAACACCCTGGGATTTTTAATGACCACAGAGAGTCAGGACCTCAGTTTTATGTCTCATCTGAAGGACAGGGCCTGTTTACAGTATAGTGTCCCCATCACTATACTGGGGCATGAGGACCCAGAGCACAAGGTGAGCGCCCCCTACTGGCCCCACTAACACCTCTGAAGGTGGCCCATCCAGGTACTGAACAGGCTCACACCTGCTGAGCTTCAGTGGGCTGCCAGTGGTGAGTTGCAGGGTGATATGACTGCTGGCCACCATATTTATCCCACCTTATTTCAAGCTCCGTGGTGACGAAGCTCCAGAATGGCTGTGTGCTTTTGTGATTGCTCGGCTCTTTACCCCATTTTCTGGGAAATGACCAGAGCTGTGCTACGGTGACTTGGATTACAAATGCGTTGCCAAGGAATTCAGACAGTTTTTCACTCTGCATAACATGAAGGGTCCCTCCTATTCTCCCCCTAGGGAAAGAGGGCATTGCTGAGTTGTGTGCTCGGTTGTTCCGCTCCAACCTCTGAGCTTTACGACAGCCCGGGGCAGCAAGGGGAGGCAACAACCAAAAGGTTTGTCTACAGAACAGAGCCGTATGCAATGCATGCACATGGTTTTCCAACGGTTTAACACTGCAGAATACAGAGGGCGTGGACAAGAGGACATGACACAGTGTGCTCTGGAAACCTCCTTCAGCTGGAAGTCTAGCGAAGAGCAGGTCGAGAGGGTGTCTCGGACAACACTAGTGTGTGGGTGTGATGCCTCATTCAAGTATCAGTCTTGGAAGTTGTTGACAGGAGTCACCTGATCCCTCAGGAGTCCTGCTACTGGAAATAAAGCCGACACAATCCTAATTGTTATCGACTGCAAGGTTGCAACATGGGCGAATGCTTCATTTGCTTTGTTACTCTCATATTGTGTTCAAAATTCAATTCAAAATTAATTATCTCAATAATAGATGTGTGTTCAATATTAAATCTGTGTGGACCCACAGATGTTCTTTGTGCTGCTAAGAGCAAGTGGGATGTGAGGGTTAAAACTGAGTCTTTGGCTAGTTTCCTAGAAAGAGTCTTCCGGAAAGTTGCAGCTGCTGTTGGGGAGGCCAGCGCTCTTAATGACGTCGTAGAGCCTTTCAGTGTTGATTTTCAGGCTGCACTTGAAACAAAGTGAATCTTCGGATTTAAAAAAAACTGATGATTGGGCTGTTTTCCTGTTTTGAATGTTTGTCATTTTAAGATGGATGAGGCTTGGTGCTCCAAGAAAAGAAACGGGGGATTCTATAAATAACTTTTTTAAATATTTGCCGTTTAATATATTTTGTAAATCTTCGTTCAAAATAAATTTAAGCAATGATGACAATCTGCTCGAATGAAGCCTAATGCTGTTCCGGAAGTTTGGTGCCGCGACTTTAAGTGCATGATGGGAAGTGTAGTTTTAAATAAACATTCCACGACAGATCGGATACGCGCTGATTTCCAGGAATCATTAACCCGTTAAGCGCAACCACGAATCTAAAATAAAATCAGCTTCCTCTGTTTTATTGTTGTATTCAATATCAATATATTGTGCACACGTGCATGAGTATGAAGCCGTAATTCTTCGCAGTTGCCAACCGAGGGAACCGGGGCTTGTCGTGATGATGTCTAGACTTCACGCATGAAAACCCACAGTGACTTTCTATTTTTGATAAATGAAACACTTTAAAGGCGCCTCTGGGTAGAGAGACAGGCAATGCCAGACAGCGATGCTCTGACAGTGGAGGCAAGATGTTCAGCTCCCTGGGAATTCTGGGAGCACTCCTGGAGAGCAGGATCGCCCGTCGTGTTACTTGCAGTTCATTTCTGGCAGGGAGAAGCAACGTCTGTCTCCACGCCAGACTTGACACAGCGGGTGACCGAGAGCGAAACGCGATAGGGTGTCGATGTCTACCCACTCTCGCACGTCATTAGCTGAGAGCAGACATCTCCACAACCTCCCGTCCCTCTCTCCTCCTTTCCCTGCCCGTGCCCGCGCACGCAGGTGCTGCTGCCGGCGGCGGGGGCGCGCTGGATGACGTAAGGGGCGCGCCCGCACAGCGGTGATGGCGGTGCGTGAACGCGCAGCGGCAGTAATGGCTGCTCTGGAGCGGCGGTTTCCCAGTCTCGATGATTTCGCAGGCCAGAGCTGGAGCTCCTGGGTGGAGAGGGCGGCCTTGCCCGCATCGGAAGGTGAGTGATTTCCTCGGCGAGAGCACAGCCCGGTTTCCACGCCGCCGAGGTTTCGGTGGAAGTTTCTTTTTGTGGAAAACGCGCGGCATCCTGTGACTTTAACCCAAACAAAGGACCCGCTGGGTCCTAGCGCTGGCTAGGTATTGCCCCGACGGGCTCAGCAGCTGTCCCGGGTCCTAGCGCTTATTGAGCATCTGCGAGATGGCTGTTAAATATATCACTGAAATCGCACATCCCCGAGGTCCCACACGCCGTGGCGAGAGATGGGAGGAGGCGGTTTGACCCTCTGCGGGTCAGAAGTCACAGGAGGGTGTTGGAGTTGGGCTGGGGGTGTCCGAAGTCAGGAGGAGGCGGGGGAGCCGGTGCCCTGAGCACGGGGGACTGCTAGTGTTTGCATGGAGGGAGAGGTGCACATTGGTGTGGTCGTGCCCAGCTCTGTCAGGCTTCCACCAAAAGAAAGCCAATGTGCAGTCCCAGCTCCCGCACCAGCTCCGAGAGGGCGGCCGTGTCTCTGTCTCACTGTGGGCTGGGGGGTCGCCCGCAACTGTGCGAGTGCGGGCAGAGCGCGTGTGCGCCTCGCATTGTGGAGACGTCCCTCCAGAGAGCCTCGTCCTGCCTCCACCCTCTTGTTAAGTTTTCTAGCCCCCCTTTTCATATTAAAAAAAAAACCCGCCGGCTGTGAAAGCTGTAATGCAGGTCGTGCAGGCGGCCGGTGGTACCGGAGCAGGTCCAGAAGTGCGGTATTGAGCGGTTCCATTTGCAGCCTTCAAGCCCTACCCCTCTACCCCGTGTGCCCCGACCCGCAGGAAACACGAGTCGGCGTCTCCGCACGTCCCGAGTCGCACAGTGTGAAAGAGCCGTCAGCCTCTTAAAATGTGTTCAACACTAGTGCTCGCTCCCATGCAGGCGATGGCTTTTTTTTTTCCCCCGTGCGCGTCGTGTCTCAATATTTCTGTGGAAAATAGACGTATTTCCCAAAATTAATGAAAATGAGATCCGTGCTCTCAACGGTATTGATTCACTTCACTTAATCACTGGGTTTGGCAACATCGTGGGCAAAGCCTGAATCACTTCGGCCGCTGGCTGCTGCAGCTACTAACGCAGTCTGTTTTTTTGGGGGGTGGGGGGTGTCTTCTTGTCTGTCAAGGCGGGGGCGAAGTGGAGGAGTGCGGCAAGTCCGGGCGGAAGCGGCAGGAGGCCATGACCCTGAGGAAGGAAGGTGAGGCAGACATCGGCTTCGCTTTCCGCTCTCTTCCGTTTCACCACCGAGCTGGAAATGAAAGTTTTGCTCAAGTAGCAGAGACCTCGTCGGCTGTTTCAAAGCAGCCCAGACGGTCTTACTGCTGGCACTGGTAGTAGCGGCCTGTGTCCCAACGGGCTAGGCACCTCTCTGGCAACAGGGGGTAGCTTCCTGTCAGCACTGTACTGGTGTTTTGTAAAGGTGTGTTGGATGTAAGTGTCTTTTTAGTAATTCTTCCCATTGTTAGTGTGTTGTGCCCTCTCTAAGGGGAGTCCTGTAAGTGCAAAATGCTTGGCTCATTATTTTTGAATGTTTATTGCTCACATTCACGCGGTTCGTAAAATTGAAACTGCATTATCTAATTCTTGGTTGCTCAGTCATAAAAAAAACAGCACACACCGCTGCCCACAAGCACACACACTGCTCTATACGAAGAAATGTATGAAGAAAATACACCTACATCCACTGATCCTCACCAACTTCTACAGATGTACGGTGGAGAGCATACTGACCAGCTGCATCACAGTCTGGTACGGCAACTGCACCGCATCCGACCGTAAGGCACTGCAGCGGGTGGTCAAAACTGCCCAACACATCATCGGCAGTGCCTTACCATCCATCCAGGAAATATACAACACCAGGTGTCTGAAAAAAGCCACCAAAATTATGTCTGACCCCACTCATCCCAGTCATAACTTGTTTATTCCCCTACCATCTTGCTGAAGGTTCCGGTCACTCCAGTCGCACACAACTAGACTCCAAAATAGCTTCTTCCCTCGAGCTGTCAAGTTGGTGACGCCCCCACTCCCTTCCACCTTATTATGATCTCTCCTAACGCCCTCCTGTACCCACAATGACTGTACTCCTACACCACCACACACACATGTAAGCCGAAATTGTACTGTCCCCTCGATAGCCCAGTAAAACTGTAAGAGGCATAATAATATTTAATATTTATTAATTAACCATACTACTTTTAACCATACTATTTTTTGCACTGTTCCAAGAATTACCTTGCACTGTTTTTGTCCTGTTATATTTTCTCTGTTTGCGGAATTTTGCACAGTTTTGATTACTTGATTACATGTTATTTATGTGATGTTATTACATGTTACTGTTATTGCTATTGTGTAACTGTCTATTGTCTTATCTTCTGTCCTTTTTATATACTGCACCTGGGTGACTAATGAGAAACACTTTTCATTATACTATGCACCTGTGTAAGTTTAATGACAATAAAGTTGAATTGAATACGTGTGGCCCTGTTTGCCCCTCTGGCCCTAGTGGAACCTGCGCCCAAGCCACATCGTTGATAAGCTGCAGGGACTGACTCAGATGCTTATATAGGTGGCTGATGGCTATTCCAAGACCATGGGGAGCTTTTAGGAGAAACTGGGTGATTCTGTCTTGTTTTGGGACCCGTGTGTCAAATATAAAAATAATGCCAGGGCTGGCCCTGTGCCTTAGGGGACTGTGGGTCCCGGGCGGAGGTCACACCCATGTCCATAGAGCTGCTGGCCAAGCCATCAAGAGCAGGGGTCCTCCATTGCTGGGTGACAGCTTGGGATTCCTGTTGCACTTTTGCCAGGAGTTTCTGAGTAGGGATGACCTCCCCACTGTATTTCACATCCACTGCAGTAAAGGGTCACAGAGCTGGGCTCTCACCCTTACAGCAGCACTGCTGAGTCCCGGCGGCTCTGGGGCTGGGTGTGGGGGGGGGCCGGGGCCCCGGCGGCTGCAGGGCTGGGTGTGGGGGGGGCCAGGCGGCCCCGGCGGTGGTGGCAGCTGTGGGGATGGGTGTGGCTGTGGGGGGGCGGGGCCCTGGGGGATATCTGTTTTGTCTTCGCTGAGGCTCTGTGAGGTACTGTGGGCTAAGTGCTTGTTTGTATGGCGGCGGTAACCAGGGTAGGATCCAGATGGACAGACCATAGCTGGACCTCCAGTGGGAGCTGCAGAACAATGTGAGGAAATTGATCTGCCCTGTTGCTTCCCCTGTATGTGACGGTTCAGGATTCATCCCTTCATGCCAAGTGGCAGTACCAGTACCAGATTTTGGGGAAAGTCTTTGGTGCTGCAGAGCAATCAGCTCCACTGTGAAGTGGTACTGCTGATTTGTGCTGACTCGCTCGTCCTCGAGCTCCTGCTGGGTTTACGAGGTTTCTGTAAAAAAAAAATCAGCTGCTGACGACCTGGATTTTCTTTTTATTGGCCTCTTTAAGCAAATTGGTCTCACTTAAAGTGTAAATAAAACCAAATGAGGGCGTTGAACAGCGGAGGGAGAGGGGGCAGAACCCCAGGCTCCTCGGTGGAGTGAACCTGAGCAGTGTGCGCGGGGGCTGGCGTCGGGGGCAAGGGGCTGGGGTGGTGCAGCTCTTGGAGAAGACTGAGCCGTCTGCCCTAAACCGCTATCCTGCACAGTGCGCTTCCCATTCCAGGGGCTCCGGTATTCCCGGCGTTTCAGACGTTCGGCACACGTTACGCTGTGACCCGCCTCCTCTCCGCCTGGCGGGCCAGAGTGAGGCAGGCCGGGGGTTGCCGTGAGCGGGGGAGTGGTGCTTTTCAAGGAGCTCTCCGGCAGTGTCCGCGGGGCTCTGCTTGTCGTCGGCTGGCCTTTTGTTCCCGTCTGTGCTCCTGCTGGCCCTCGGCGGGCCGTTGGCGTTTGCCAGCCCTCTTGCCTGTTATTGCGTGTAGTCTGTGTGCCCTCTCGCTCCCCCTCTCTTCCCTCCACACTTCTCACCCCCTCTAGCTGTCTCCCCTCCTCGTCTCAAGCTCAGTGAGCTGTATTGGTGTCACACTGGTTTTCCCCAAGCGTCTGTGCCGAACAGGATGGCATTGCACGATATTGGCAGCAGGAATAATAGGTTGCAGTATGATGCAGTACAGACTGGAAAGATGCATACAACACTAGAGCTCAGGAGGTTGTGGTGTAACGCAGGATAGTAGATAGTAGTCCCTTGCTCTATAAGTAAAGCATCTCTCCCAGTGGCTAACACAGTGCTGTGTGTAGTTTCCCCTCTTGCCTGGTGTAGGAGCTGGGAGCCTACATGTGCAGAGTGTCCACCCACTGTCCCTCCCTCTTCTCTCCACAAGAGTGTCTAAGTGCAGATCGCTCCTCTAACACTGGATAATGAGGGGCCCCTGCTCACCGTCTCCCGTGTGGTCCGGTGTGGTGTGAAACCTCCAGGTTCTTCCTCATAGAGACCTCCCGGGAGAGAAGCTCAGCTGATGGACTGATTGGATTGGTTAGTTGGGTGTTGTCGATTGGCCAGTTGGGTGATGACTGGGAGATTTGCCTTGAAGGGAGTGAGACCAAACTGCACTGCAGGCATGTGCAGACAGTGTTGAAACTGCAGGACTTGGCTGTCGCTGTCTGTGGCCCAAAGGACAGTCAGGAACGGATGTGTTTGGAAAGTGTCAAAGGAAAATCTGAATGAACAAGAACCGGTTTTGTAAAATGCAAGGGGATAGGTGGCAAAGCATTCATTTCACCAAGAGTTGAAGCTCAAGTATAATTCCTTGGGTAAGCACAATACTTTAAATAGTAGTGGAAACCTTGCATGGATTATTATGCACGTGTCTTATAAAGATATAAAAATGTAATATTTGATTAATTTCCAAAAATTCAGAAGGGTGCCATTAGAGAATCTGGCTGGCAGTTTTGCTAGTGGTGAGGTTATAATGTCTTTATGGTGCATTTTTTTTCTGGTGCATTTGCAAGAATAACCTGGAAGCGCATTGACTGTGCACAGTGCTCTGAAGTGTATTGGTGGGGGTCACCGTGGGGACCTGACTCTTCTTTCTTGTGGTGCTGTTAAAGTGGCAGATCCAGACAGGAAAGTCGGTAGGCTTAGAAAAACACCACAACAAAGCAAGGTGGAAGCCTGCCCCTCTCGGATCCCCCACTGAGGTGGGACCCTCCAGCGTGGCACAAGGCACATGTTGAGGAGTGCTCAGTCTCCTCCCCCTGCCTCCCGTGCTGAGGCCTGACTCTTTGATTGGTAAATGGGCATAAAATTGCCTTGTTCTGGTGCTGAGGAGGCAAGAGAGGATGAGCTGCTCTGCCCCAGACAGCAGGCGTTGTCGGTGAGAGATGCTTGCTGCAGCCCATGTGTCTGTCTGCCTGCCTGCCGTCTCTATTGATGGGCCCTGTCTCAGTGAGCTGACGGCACCAGGGCTGTGTGTGCCCGTCCCCCTGCTAACGCAGACAACTTGGCAACTCATTCCCTCTTCCTTAATATCATAAATCACCTAAAGATAGAGAGCAGCAGCCGGCTAGTGACTTAGTAAATTTAGTCAATGAGGTTTATTGGCAGTGAAGGTAAATCCGTTCAGGGTTTAAGGTCCCTTATTATGGAGTGTGACACTCGATCCAGCTCTTTAACTGTTATAGCCTGTGATCATATGTGATACTTCCTTTAGGAGAAAGCAGCTGATCCATGACATTCCCAGCTATGGTCAGCTGTGTTTACCACACTGTAATATTGGGGGGGGGGGGAGTATTTTTCTGTTATTTTGTATGCAAAATTATTTTTAACCAGCTCATCCATCCGTATGACCACGTTTGCACAAGGGCTGTCCCTAAAAAAAAAGTTCAAATAGTTTACCGTTTTTAAAGGATGTACCTCTTAGTCAGAATGACAGTAGGTAATGGTTTGATTTTTGACTTAAGATGGAAGAATACCTACTGTTCCCTTTTGTAGAATTCAGGGTGCTGGCCCAGGCACTTGTCTTGGGGAGGAGGGGCTCTTTCCTGTGGTAGTGTTGGCTAAGGCAGCGATTCTCAAACGGTGTGGCTTCTGCCCCTTGATGTGCCGTAGAATTTGGAGAGAAATGACTTGGTGAAATACTATTTCAGATGTGACGTCGCCAAAGCGTGGTACTGCGTGTTTGGAGAACACACATAAGACAGCCTGAGAGTGAATTGTGAGGTGTGGGAGTGAGGTGGAGTGTGGAGAGGAAAGCACAGAGCAGACAGAAAGCTTTGTGAAGGGGAAGAAAGTCATTTCTTTCCCCTTTTCCCTCTTGCTGTGGACCAGGTCACAGACACAGGAGAGTGCAGACTAGGGAGTAGCTGTTGTTATGCTCTGGCTCTAGATTCAAACTGTGTTTTGGGACAGAACATTTGCAGTGATAAAATAAAAATATACCGCTGACCACAGGGCTGTTGTCTTTGCTCTGCACATTTCCGGCTCACTGTAATAGCTAAGGGAGAGGGAAAAACAGAAATATTTGAAAAGAGGAATCTGATGCTTGCAAAGACAAAGGTGAACATGAGTTCAAAGGGGTAAAAAAGTCAGTCCAACACCAGTTATTGCAAATAATGCGCAGTATTTCACTGTTGTCTATTTCTGCCAGCCTAAGGCAGCCATGCACTTTTGGTTTTAATAATTTAATTTCCCTAACTGACCTGTGTGTGGGGAGGGGAGGGTATGGTGTATTTATGTGAGTGTGTCTTGGAAAAGGGTAAGAAATAGTGCTGCAGGCTGAGTGACTCTCTCTCCTCTCTCTCCTAGACATGTCCATCTTTGGGCACTGCCCGGCACACGATGACTTCTACCTGGTGGTGTGTGGTCACTGCAGCCAGGTGGTCAAGCCACAGGCCTTCGAGAAGCACTGTGGTGAGTGGGAGTGGGCCTGGGGTGTGTGTAATTGATGTGACTGCTCCGTGCATGGCAGTACAGGTGGCACGTGGGCAACCTGCGCCCGGTGTGCCAACTGCCTGTTCTGTGCCTGACCGGCAGAGTGGGCGGTGTCACTCTTCGTTGCCTCTGCTGACGCTTCCTGTCTTTCCCCTCCTCTTGGTCCCAGAGAAGAGGCACGGACCGCTCGGCAAGCTGTACAGCCGTCTGCAGCTGTCCCCCTCCGCGCCCCCACATCGATCACGCCTCGGGCACCCGCCCTCTCTCCACGGGACGCCCAGAGCTGTGCGGGACAGGCCACAAGGGGCGCCCCCCCCCCGAGCCCCGCCGCAGCCCCACCCCCCTGTGCTCCAGCAGAGGAACGCCAAGGGGCAGAGGGAGGGAAGCTGGTAAGGGTCCTGGATTATACAGGTTGCTTGACAACACAGTGTGGCAGAGACGTGCAGCTGAGACAATACAATTCACCAGCATATTGTAAATACTATGTATTTTTGTTTTGCATTTATTTACAAAAGCCTTTGGAAAAAGGGGGTAGAATTCCTCCGCTGAGTTAATCAGGGACTGGGAATTTCTTGGTCTGGTAACGGAAGTGCAATAAACTTTCCCTGGCTTCTCTCTCCCTCTCCAGCTTGTTTACATCGGCAGGGTCCTCGGAGAAGCAGTCGTCCGTGTCTCTGCCTGACAGCTCCAGTGTGAAGCCACCCCCTCCTCCGGAGTCTCCCCAGGCCTCCCCGTCTCCCAGCCCCCGAGACACGCCGCCCAAGGGAACCCCGCCTTCGGAGAAACAGCTTGCCCGGCGAGGGGAGCCAAGTCGGACGCCCGAAACCCTGGGCGCCCTCTCAAGTGGGCAGAAGAATTACAAGAAGGCTTCCAGTGAGTCCTGGCTGTCAGGGCGGCTCGTTTCAGCGTGGAGGAGCTGTGTGCTGCTGCCGAGACTGACCTGGGTCCCGTTTCTGTTCCAGGGAAAGAGTGTGACCTGGACAAGCACTGTGGGGTGATGGACCCCGAGAGGAAGAAGCTGTGCACCAGACTGCTCACCTGTAATGTAAGCACACTCCTCCTCTTCCTCTCCCGCCTTGTCAGTTGAAAGAGCTTAACTGGACAATAAATGACACTTGGCCGAAGCAGTAACAATTATCAGAACATTTACAAGCATCTAGAAGCTCACGCTCGGTCCCTCAGGCTGTGAAAGGAGATCTGCCTTTTCCCTCCCTCACTCCCTGTGAGTTTTTCTCTCGTCCTTGCTCGTGCGGTTTGCGCTAGTCACTCATTTGCTGTGGTCCGTTCTCTCCCACTCCGGACCTACTGGACAGGAGAGCTCAGTGACTCATGAAGGAGAGAAGGGGAGGGAAACAAAGACTAGTCTGTGTTCTGGTTACTGGGAGTCCATGTCCTCTCAGAGTAATGGAAACGGTCAGGCGATACCAGGGTGTCCTCTCCCCCTACGTGGCTAGTCGGACTGTGACAGACGTTCTTGCACCCCAGTCGGGGCCTCTCCTGCTCCGCTCGAGCTGGGACATTTCTCCTCCAGCTGTCTCCCTCCCCCTGCTCAGATCCATTCCATCCACCAGCGGCGGAAAGTGCCGGGCCGGACCAAGAGCTTCGACCTGCTGGTGGCGGAGCTGAAGAATGGAGCACGGACCCGGGAGAGGGGGGTCCCGGTCCGGGAGAGACCCAGCGGGGCTGTGCCCAGCCCGGAGACCCCCGGCCCTCAACTGGGAGCCCCACACGGCCGGGGCAGGCTCGCCAACTGCACGGCGCCCAGGTAGGCCTGCCTGTCTCCCGCGGTCCCTCGGTGTGTGTGGCAGGCTGTGCGATGCACCCCGGGCGCTGACACAGGGTGTGCCGGGTCTCCGCAGGTCCTGGGCGTCTTCGGAGAGCGGGGCGGAGGAGGACAGCAGTGGGGTGGAGCCGCAGGGCACGGAGCCCATGTCACCCCCCCAGCACAGCCGGCTGTCCAGCGAGGAGAGCGAGGGCGAGGGGCTGGAGGAGCCGTCCGATTGGAGCTACAGCCCCTGGCATCCCAAGCCACTGGGGGTACGCTCGCGCACGCTGCCAGGCCGGAGATAGTCGGGATCGGCACCCGGCCACTTGAATACAGCTGCCACAGTAGATGGGGGGGGGTCTTGAGCATCATCCAGCACAGGGCCAGATGAAGAAGGTCAAGCTGGTGACTGATGTTGGTCCAGGGGCGCAGATGTGGTGTGGGCGGCGTGGGGTGGATCCTGTGAATGTGACTCTGGGCAGGCGGCGTGCCCAGCAGCACCCACAGGCACTGTCCTAATCCTGTCCCGGTCTACCTGCCCGCAGGTCTGCTCGTTCGGCAGCCACGCGCTGGGCCGCGGCATCTTCACCTTCGACCGGCGGCTCCACCGCCTGCGCGCCGCGCTCAGCAGCATGGTGGAGCGGCACCTCAACTCGCACCTGTGGAAGTGAGTCCCCTCGCTCCGTCTCCTGGTGTCGGACTCCGTTACTGCAGCGCCGCAGGGTCCTCTGGCTCCCTGCTCCAGCCTGGTCTAGTTACCTAATTAGTTGGATTAATGGCATAATTCTCTCCGGGCTGCAGAAAGCTCTGTAGATAGGGTTTTGACTGAAGATAAATGAAAAACAATAGATGTTATGGCCTCATAAGTTGTCTCCCAGTTCTTGAATGCCTCTGTATAGGTGGGCGAGCTCTGGTAGTGTATGTTGGGCTAATCCTTGGTTTTCCTTTCCCATCTTGGCAGGAAAATACCTCAAGCGGCAGACCTGCAGTCACCGCGTACCTCGGCTCCTCACCCTGCGTCATCCTCTCCCACCTTCTCGCCCCGGAATTCCTCGGCTCCTGCCGGCAGCGCCAGCCTTCCGAGCGCCTCTCCCCTCCGGACTTCCTCCTCCTGCTTGACGTCTTCTGCCTTTGCCCGAGAGACCAGGCCTCAGCCGTGCCCAGCAGCTTCCCCCAGCCCCGGCACGGCTTGCGGCCCCCCAGACAGCGTGGGCGGGGGCGGGCAGTCCATCACCTCGCCGCTGCCGGCCAACACCCCCTCACCCTCGGGCCCCAGCCGGGCCCCAACGCCTGCTGGCAAAGCCAGCAAGCCGTCCCGCCAGAAGGAGAGGCCCAGCCCGGAGCACGTCACCTCCTCCAGGAAACGGAAACGGCAAAGGCCTCCCTTGTCCAGTGAGGACCCCCCCAGCCATGAGAGGAACTGTGTGGCTCAGGAGAGGGGCCGGACTCCTGTATCGGTGTCCTCGGAAGACCCCACAAGGACTGCCCCCTGCCACCACGGACCAATCAATGGGTCCCTCTCCCCAGGCAAGCCACGCCCCCCGCCAGAGCCTCCCTCTTCGCCCAGCCAGACCAGGCGTGGAACTCCGCCCCCTCGGCAAGCCCCTCCCCCAGACCCTAGCTCGCGGGGTCGGGGGGCTAGTCCCAGCATGCACAGCAAGGCCGTCAGCTATGACCACAAGGGCCTGGGCAAGAAACGGAAGAGTGGCACCCCACCTTCCCCCGCCGAGCCCCGGGCCCACAAGCCGCACCGCACACCCCACTCCCCCCATGCCAGCCTCTTCCCGTGGAAGAAAGATGGCAGGGGAGGGGGGGGCCTCGCCGCTGGGCTGGAGAGGAAACTGGGCGCACAGAAGGTGGGTGTACCAGAGCCAGCAGGCAAGATCCCACTGAAGTTAACCCTGATCAGGGGACAAACCCCGACAAGGAGTGTTTAACCTAGAATATTTTTTTAATTATTTGCTAGCCTTAAGTCGTATAGTCCTCGTTTGGGCTGAGAATTGAATATGCATATCACTTACTGATTAAAAATCAGCAGATTTCATAAATGTATTGCAGCAGCTGCAACGTTACTCTTCTTGTTCCGTGACTTTGACAAATGAAGTCCCAACAGGCTTTGGGGGCTGAGAATTTCAGGGTTTCCTGTTTCCTTGGGCCCCAGGCTTTTGACAGGCGTGCTGTGGGAGGGCGCGTAGAGCTCGGCAGCACTCGAGACCCAGGTTTTTGTTATGCAAAACAGCGGTTCAGTATGACAGCTAATCTTGCTTTCCTTTTTTTTAATCAGCCGAACCTGCATCACTGAGAGTGCCTGCCTTTCGAGCCACCAGGAGACGACCCGTTTCTGTGTGTGGACAGGGGCCCTGGGACTGTGTGCTTGTGAGTGTGTGTG